TTTTTTGTATTTGATAACTTTTTATATTGCTATCTGACCAATAAAATTACTTTATATGTAAATGACCCAAATGACCTGATGACCAAATGACCAGGGTCATTTAACCAAATGACTGGGTTATTTAAATTTTGAGCAAATAACCAGATCATTTACCATCCCTGCTATATATTGGTGTAACTGAAATAGAGTTGAAATGAGTCTCTCTTGTAAGTAAAGTTTCTTGGTAGAAGACTTTGGTGCTACTAAGTGAAGAAGTAGCAGACAAGCTTTGGAGCTTTGTTAAGTACTATGGAAGCCTTGGCAAAAGTAGCTATTTAGTTAGATATATTATTCTGTATAGATATAATATAATCAGGTCTCTCTAAATACAATATAATAGAACTATATATAAAAATTTAACCAAATATGCATTTAGAGAGGTATTATATTTAAAATATAGTATTAGTTAGGTTCAAGAGAAAATATGCATTTATGGAGGCTTTTTATAAAATGTACACTTAGAGAGATTATATTTAGGGATTTGACTATATATATGGAAGTACCCAGTAGCACTAACAGAATTTCACTGATTTGTATTTTAGAACATTTTGATTAGCCAATCAAAATTTGTTTACTGTATATACATGCTTTGTAAAATATTCATTAATCTTCTTGAGATAGTTAATAACTATTTCTTTTTTATATTTATCAATAGTTTTAGAACAAGAGCAAAGACCCATTGTTGATAAAGTTTCAATACCATCTCTTGAAGCTTCACAAGCTGCTAAATAAAGCCCAATTTCAAGTTTAAAATCATTAACAAACTTATTGTCTAAACTAGCAAAAAGATATCAAAATCCAACAGCAGCTTTTTTTCCATTTTTATAATTCTTTTGTAATCTTGTTTGTGAATTTATTGCATTTATAAATTTATTAAAAAATCTATATAATTTAGGCTCTTTTTTTTTAATAAGTAGACAAAATTTATTTGGATCTAATTCTAATAAAAAATTTTGTTTTCTTTGTATATCATAAAGAACTTTTGTTAAAAGTTGCAGTTGTTCTTCAAAAGGCAAATCTAAAAAAAAAGTAATCAAATATATATGCAATAATTTTTTAAAATAAAAAGTAATTATATAATTGCCTTACCAGTAATCATTATTTAATATATTTGATTGTATAATATTATTATTCAAATCAGAATTTGATGTTTTATTTTGAGATTTAGCTTTGTCTTTTTTTTGGTTTATAACGATCTGGTTCAACAATATTATTATAATGTTTTTGGCAAAGTTTATTACCAATTTTCAAATAACTAAATGCATCAAATGTTTTTTTCTTTTTGCTTTTTCATATGCTAATTGAGTAAATTCACGAATTCTTGTAGTTTGTTCAGTACAGTTATATATTACACAGTTGTTAATATTAGTAGGTCATTTTTTAAATAGTTTAAATTTTCTAAATTGTTCACTTTTATTTATTATAAAATTTAACCAACCTGACTTTAAAATGATTATTTTCGTGATTTAAAATGATCTACATCTTATAACCAATTAGAAGAAATTCTACTATGCTTACTTTTAGAAACTCGATTTTCAAAATAATACCCATGCTTGCTACTTCGGTAAATTAGCATTAGAAAGATGATGAATGCCGTCAAGGGAAGCCTGTCACTGAGCTTTCAATTATATTTTGTTTTCAGTCTGTTCCCCGAGTGCAGTCTATCATCTGGCCTTCAATCATATTTGTTATTGTGACAAAATATAATTGAAAGCCTTCATACTGTAACTTACATGGTCCTTATGTAATTTACAATAGCGATAGGTATTAAGGCTGGCCAAATCATGTGACAATTTCTACCGGCATTAACTTCAACCAAGTTTCATAATTTTATCTTAAGTTACAATAAAACCCTATACTCATGAGCGTTATTTAGAATAATGGCCCGAATTAAGCTTAATTTTGGTCAATTTTTGAAATTTTACCCCTGCAAAAATACATATACTCGGAAATTTTACTTTTAAATAACAGATTACAAACTTGATGTAATTATGGTTGTAAAATTCTATGTAATTTACGATATAACTTACATGCATGGTCAAAATTATACGTAGCAGTATAATTCTGAATTATCGAATTTATTCAATTATTCAGATTGTAAATCGAAATTAAATAATATCCGACTTAGGCTATAGAATCATCTAAATCTTTACCCTATTGGTTTACACTGCGTAACAATTTAAATATGTGCATTTACCAAATGGATGCGGCTGAATAATAATCCGAATTAAAGAATTCATGTGATGATTGCAAACCAATTCCGGATCAGAACCTGGACATGTGCGAAAAGAAAAAAAAAAAAAAAAAAGACGAAAGCTGATGTTTAAATCGGTCTTAGTTCACTAATTAAATGAAATTTTGCGTATACGTAGTAAGTGATAGTCTACTTATTTGTTATATAGTCCCTAACGCTAACGTACTACACACATTAATTTAATTTCTATTAAATTTCCCTTTTTAGATTTGTATTACTCGCGCAAATTTGTAGATCCAGTTAAGAATAAGGATTATTAAGTATATACGCATGTAAATTGGCCATTATGCTAATTATATATAATTTTACGTAATCGCATATATTCAATTAGAAATACGAAATTTAATAGCGATAGGTAAAAAAAAAAGATTATAAATGAACTATTGTTCAGACTTTAGTATCCCATTCACAATATGCCAGAAACGTTTCGTAATTGGATTAAAAAAGACCAAGCTACTACAAATGTTTCAAACATAGTAGCAGGTGTTTCTGCTTTGCTAATTGTAGCAACAGGACTAGCAAGATATGCTTCGCAACGTAAAAAAGATAAATCGTATATTAACTCTTTAGAGTCGCAAGCAGACAAATTGTCAATAGTATCGTTATTACGATCAGATCCGATGTTCGAAGAAATAAAACGTCCGTACGATCATATCGAACATGAACATAGATCACATCATTTTACTGCAGGTACTTTACAAGGGAAGGGAAAGTTCGCAATTAGCCCAATTGTCTTCTTTTCAAAAGAAAAGATGGAATTAGTGGTTATTTCTCATATTGGCTCTGATATGTGTGGTCATGTTGGAATTGTCCATGGTATGTATATTTTTGGATTAATGTGCATATGTAATTTCACATGACCGTTGTCACAAATGACATATTATTGTAGGCGGACTGATATCAACTTTAATAGACGAATTATTTGCAAAGACTGTAAGTTAAAACTTTTTAATAATACTTTGATTGTTCAATGTCAATTTCTTATTAACTATTCTTTTATTGTTTTTCTATGAAGGCAATCCCTCTTCTTCCTGATAGAAATGGTGCAACAGCTTATTTACATATAAACTTCCGAAAGCCATTAGGGGCAAATCAGTTTGTTATAGGGAAAAGTAAAGTTACAAAACTTGAAGGCAGGAAATGTTTTGTTGAAGGAACTTTAGAAACTTTAGAAGGGCAAACCGTTGCTGATGGGAATGCATTATTTATTAGTATAAAAAAATTAAATGCTCAAAAGTAAATATGGTTTATTATTAGCCAATTGTTTATTTGCATGTTAAATATATATAATTCAAATTTTATAATATATAAACTAGATAGCAATTTTTTTTTCTTGTATTACAAATTTTATAATAACTATAAGTTAAAACTATATTATAAAAAAATATAATATACTGTAACATATTAGTTTTTTTTTTTTTTTAATGTTTAAGGTGAGACCATGCTCTTATCTTTATTAAACTTAATGAAAACTTTTTACATAATTGGAAAAGGTTTTAAATTTTAAGTCTATGGTTCATGTCACCTATAGTCATCAAACAAATTTAAACAACTTTAAACAACAACTAGTTTTTTTATTAAAGTAAAATTAAAATTTTAAACTGTAAAAATAATAAATTTAATGCTTCTCTATCAAATTTACAGTTTATTTTTTTTAGTTATTTTTTTTTTATAAGATATTAAAGTTAAATATTGGGCACTTTTATTAGTAATCATTAAATTTCGGATGTCGATCATTTTATTTTATCCAATCAGCAAACAGAACTTGGTCACGTGATTGGTCGATTCGAAATACTGAGAAGTCATGTAAAATATATTTTAAATACAATGCAATAAAATAAATTTATCAACCCGTCTCTTATATTTTTTACATATGAATTGGAATCATTTAACCATATAAAAATTTTTCTATAGCTTCAGGCCGAATTACTTTAGTTTGTTAGATGAATAAACAATTAAATAATTAGAAAATTTTTTAGGCGGTTCTAACCCTTATTTTAATAACATCCATTTATCTATTCTTCTTTGCTATATCTGATTAAAATAGAAAAAAAAAATAATGTATAAATAAATATATAGATAAATAGATAATCAAAAATAAAAAAATAAAAAAAAATATTTAAAGATACTTATTATAATATACAATACATGAGCACCGCAAAAGAAATACACGTAATTATTATTTAATTATTATTAGATAAGGAATTTAGGCTTTTCCCTTTGCTAGCACCCATATACATTGCTAACAAGACATGTGAATTTTCCATATTCTATCTTATAAGTAACTTCCACATAATGATTAATAATATAAAATTTAAAACAAAGAAGACTTTATCCATTAAAAAATTTTTAATCAGTAGAATTAGTTTAATAATAACTTTACCTCCTACTCGATCATGTGATGGAATGTGATTTTTGGTACAATTCAAAGGCACTAATCTGAAAAGTAAAGTAATTAAGTATCATAGTCGAAAATAAAAATAAATTAATAAAACTAAAATAGGTAAAATGCAAACAAGGCAGGTAATAACACAATATTGAAATAGGCAGATCCCAGATAAGGTGGTGTTAAAGTGTGTGAAAATAAAAATAAATGACATAGAAAAAATAGTTAGAAGATCATTAAAATAATAATACTTCTATTAATTGCCAAAAAGACTTCAAAGATAACGAATTAGTCATCGATCAAACAGTAAATTAGATGTGATTTTCTTAAATGTGAAAAGATGCAGCTAAAAAGTTTATAAATCCGCATTGTTAATTATCAAAAAACTATTCAAAATACTTAAATAAATCTTATAGACCATCTGTAAAGTGTTTTTTAAATTGATTTGTATACATTTCTATTAACAATACATAAAAATAAAAATGCCACCTTCTTCTAAAGGAAAAAGAAAAGTCAGAAATCAGAATAGAAATGATGAAGGTCGATATTGTAATCCCAAAAAAGTTCTTCACACCTCAGTAATTTTAACTGATCAAGAAAATCTGAAAGATGAATTTGGTGAACTATATAATAGTGACAGAGAAGGTGCGTTGGATGTTAGTGATAAAAAAAAAAGTAAAGATGATAGTTAGAATAAATATAATAAATTAAATATTAGTGATTTAGAGTAGGGATGAGAAAAATAGTGAATGGGACGATACTGAGAATATTGAAACTGAATTTAAAGAACTCAACTTAATATAGAAAAATAATAGCCAATTAGAAAAAATAAAACAAGGTTCATATATAAAAGGCAAGACACCGAAGTTAACTTATTATGATAAGTATGTGCCAAATGGTATCTTTACTAAAGCGGCAATTAGTATCAAAAAAATTACTAGTTTTTTTAATAACATCGAGATACAAGTTACAAATCTACAGCCTAATAAGTTAGATAAGGCCTTAAGTAATTCAGAAAGTGAAACTGACTCATATATCTATAAAATAAATAAAAGGGCAAAAAATTTAAAAAAACAATTAGAACAAAATCATGGTACATTAACAGTTAAAGAGTATAATTATAAAAGAGCTATTTTTGAATATCTTAGTTTGTTGAGTAATAATAATGGTCGTGGCAAAATTAAAGCTAGTTTGGAGGTTGTGCAGAAGGTCTTTATCGATGGTGATGTGTAGAAAGCACGAACAATTCGATATTTTACAGAATATTGGTTACTTAATGATAAGCTTTTGTCATCTAAACATGGAAAACATTAAAAACAATTAGGATAATCGATGATGAAGATATTGAAATCAAATACCATATTTGGATTAAAAGCCAAAATTTCAAAATTACACTTGCTACATTTAAAAAATTTATTGAAGATGAGTTGTTTTCTAGTGTTGGAATTTTGAAAAAAAAACTGTTAGTTTAAAGACCGCAGGTAGATGGCTCAAGGTTCTTGGCTATTTATTTTAATGACATCATCAAGGTATATACTATGACGGTCATGAAAGAGAAGATGTTTTAGAATATAGAAAAACTTTTTTAGAAAAAATATTTAAACATGAAAAGTATATGTCAAAATATGAAGGTAAGTTTATAGAAAGGGATATGTCCTATTTTACCTCAAAGAGAAAAAGAAAGAGTTCTTGTAGTATATAACAAATATATATTTTATTCAAATAATGATAAACAGGGTGTATGGACTAAAGACAGGAGGATGCCACTATGAAAAAAAGGAAATAGAAGATCGATTATGATTAGTAAATTTTTTACTGAAGTTGATAGACGTTTATACTTACAACAATTTGATATAGAAAGATACCCTAATATATTTAAAGAAGCAAGATGTTACTTGATACCTAGCACAAATCAAGAAGGTTACAAGACTACAAAACACCTTCTTGAACAAATTAAATATAAGGCAATTCCCATTTTTGAGACATTATATCCCAATTGTGTAGCTGTGTTCACTTTCGACAATAGTTCTAATCATGGTGCATTTAGTAAAAATGCTTTAATTGCAAGTAGGATGAAACTAGGCCCAGGTAGAAAGCAACCAATTATATATAATACTTATTTTGGAGAAAATAATCAATTACATCGATAGTATTTCCAGAAACAGATTCAGATATGAAGTTATATGAGGAACTATATAGTGAATTAGATAAAGAGCTTCAAGGCAAACCTAAAGATATCAAACAAGTGCTAACAGAACGAGGAAAATAGCTATCTAAAGGGTTAGTTTTAGACTGTAAAAAGTGTAAAGAAAAGATCAAAGATACTTCAAAAGTTTCTTGCTATACACACTGTATATTATCTCTAGAACCTGACTTTCTTGCTCAAAAAAATGCAATTGAAGAACTAATTGAAGACATGGGACATAAATGCATCTTTTTTTCCAAATTTCAGTGTGAGTTAAACTTTATCAAAAGATATTGAGGGGCTGCTAAAAGGCATATACGTGAGAATTGTGATTATTCATGACAAGAGTTACAAAAAACTGTGACAGAAAGTCTTGAATCGATATCTTTAATAACTATTAAAAAATTTTTAAGAAAATGCTAGCATTATATGGATCTTTATAGAAATAGTCTTAGTGAAAAACTAGTAGAATATGCAGTAAAGAAGTATAAAACTCACAGAAGAATCCCGGATAATATTTATGAAGAGTTGGATAAATTAGACAATATCTAAACCTTATAAAAAAGTAAAATCTATTTTTTGCTATCATTATACTCATTAAATTTGTAATTAAAAAGCTGATCATTAACAAGTTGGTTGAATCATTCATCTAACTTTAAATATTAGTTACTTGACCTTTTTTTTGTATTAATTAATAAAGTTTGTGAATCTGGATATTATTGCTTTGTAATTATTGAACAATTAGTAAGATCATTTTGCCTATTTGTATTCTTTATTACGGTATTAGTCTAGCTAAAGCTTATTACAGTATTATAATTTTGGCCAATAAAAATTATTACACGTGATCAAAGATCGACATCCAACTTTCGGACTGATCTATATTCTTTGATAACTATAGGTGATACGAACTATAGTGCTAAGAATAAGAACTCAAATATATAATTAAAAGAACTTATTAGTTTAAATAAACCTAGAAACTTATCTGCAGCCTAAACCTACTAGAATAGCCAAAGCTTACCTAGATTTGGGATAAGTTAAAGATATATGATAGGTGTGTGCTCCAATTAGAATACCAAGAAGATATTTTTAAAGAAGATATTTGTTAAGTAGAATTAGAAGTATCAGAAACAGAAGATATATTGTGAAGTAATTTGGATAGAAAAAGTGGTTAAGGCTGTGAGAGTTGAGACTAGGGTCTAAAACTTGCAATATGAAATCCAAATATTTGAGAATAGTTGTTTATTAATATAGAAAAGAAGTTGAATGGAAATTAAAATAGCCAATTGGTTAGATATAGTAAATTTATATATTGTATATATAATATCAAGTAGAACAAGATCAGAAAGCATAAAGAAGATAGATAGTTTGTTAAGAGAGTTATGAAATTAAAAACTGTTAAGATTAATAATTTGGTTGTGTAATTGGTTGATTTAAGATAGAGGAATTTGAAGTTTGTGAATAGTTAAAGTTTGTTGTAGTGAGTTTTGTATAAGTATGTAAAGAGGGTTGAAAGAAAGACATATAGCCCAGTGTAGCATAGTACTTGTTTGCTAGCATATATAACAAATATTAGAGTAAAGAAGATTTCTCTTATGCAAAGTATAAGGTGTGAAAAGTTCACTAGTAAGAAGCTTAACTTTAAATATTTTAAGAGTAGAGAACTGAAAACTATAAGCAAAGTTAGAAACTTTTGATTATTGTTAATATAGAGCCAGATTGTATTCTACATTAGCAAAATATATAAACGTAAACTTATATAAGTTATTATGGACCGAAATATTGCGCAATAATTACGACCTAGGCAGAATATTTTGAAATAAATTACGAAATATTACGAAATATATTTCGAAATATTACGAATATATTACGTAATATTCCATAATTTATTACGCAGTATAGCGTAAAAAACATCGAAATAAATCGCAATATATCGAAATAAATCGAAATATTTCGAAACTATTCGAATAATTTAGATATAAAAAAGTGACAAAACAACAATTATAAATTAAAGAATGATATATATTAGATTAAGCAACAGGAAATAAGATCAAGCTATACTAAATTAATTTG